AGGTGAAGGGAAGGACAGCACACACTACAGGGGAAGTCAGCACAACTGGACTAAACCAAAGCTAAGAAGTTTCCTGAATACAACCAAACACTTTGAGGGACAGAGTAGCAGGGGTAGGGGTCTGGGGACCACGCTTTCATGGGACATCTAGGTCAATTGGCATAACAAAGCTTATTAAGAAAATGTTCTGCATCCCACTTCGGTGAATGGGTCCTGGGGTCTTAAAAGCTTGCAAGCAGCCATCTAAGATGCATCAGTTGGTCCCAACCACCTGGAGTAAAGGAGAATGAAGAACACCAAAGACACAAGGAAGGGATTAGCCCAAGAGACAGAAAGGGCCACATAGACCAGAGACTTCATCAGCCTGAGATCAGAAGAACTAGATGGTGGCAAGCTACCACCAATGACCACCCTGACAGGGAACACAACAGAGTCCCTGATGGAGCAGGAGAAAGATGGGGTTCAGAACTCAAATTCTAGTAAGAAGACCAGACTTAATGGTCTGAGATTGGAGGAACCCCAGAAAGCATGGCCCCTGTATTCTCTATCAGCCTAGAACTAAAACAGTTTCCAAGGCCAACTCTTCAGACAGGGATTGGACTGGGCTGTGGGACATAAAGTGATACTCGTGAGGAGTGTGTCTCCTAGCTCAAGTAGATACACGAGACTAAATGGGCAGCTTCTGTCTGGAGGTGAGATGTGAAGGCAGAGAGGGTTAGGAACTGGTTGAATGGACATGGGGAATCGGGTGAAACAGAGGAGTGTGCTGTCACAGTATGGGGAGAGCAATTAGGGTTACAAAACAACATATGTATAAATTTTTGTATGGGAGACTAACTTGAAATGTAAACTTCATTTAAACTACAACAATAAAACAATGAGAAAAAAAAGAAAAGAATAAATGGGTTTGTGGGCCAATCCTACCACTTCTGTGGAGCTTGAGAAGCCTCTGCATCAAAAACCCATTCTTCATCTTTACTGAAAGCACATTCACCACTTACAGACCCAAAGGTATTGCGCGTGTACCGAAGGGCACGCGCATGTCTGAAGCATCCATCTGGGGGGGGCCCAGTAGGGACAATTATCCCTCACTTACACCCCTTGGCCCCATGAGTCAGTGATTACTCTTACTTTAAAACTGACTTGACTAGTATCCACTCAAGCTCTAGAAAAACATCTGGAGTCAAAAGGAAACGAAGGCAGAAAAGAGTATTATTTTCCATGTATTCAGCAGCAGTAGTTTCACTGTCCTCAATTTGCCCTACTTTATGACAACCTAAACTATTATGCTAGGAGAAACAGAATGAGTATAAAAAAAAGTTTGCCCCAAAAGCTAAAATAAATTTACTGACATTTAAAGAGCAATACTCACCCTGGGCTAATCTACAGGGGAAAGAAATTCATGCAGTGACACTTCAGTATGAAGAACAAGATTAGTTTTGCAATGATAGAGAAGAAAGAACATTCTCTAGGACAAAGGTCCTCTCTTTGCCAACAGCCTGGACTATAGCACGAGCCCAATTTTTTGTAAATCCCCCCAGGAGGGCTCAACTTTCTGCTCAGAGCATGAAGGCTCTGGCATCAGCTATGTGTGGAGTGATGAGTAGGCCTTATTTAAAAGGCATGACAGCATTACTGAGCAGGATTTTCAGTTGCTAATACAGGCTTAGCAACAGCACTGCTGGTGAAATCACTCTGGAGACATATTTAAAGAGAAGCAAAAGAAAACAGGTTCGTGATGTGCCCACAGCAGGACAACTGTTGTGGATGAGCTCATTCCAACTTGTTAAGATGACAAAAATGAACCCTGTTCACTAATCGAATTACCAAGTACCTCTTCTATTACCAAGTGTGTTGCAGCTGAGTGAATCTTTGGGACTCAGGAAAAATATCCATCCAGACATTGAAAATCCCTGAGTTATCCCCAGGCACAGACTCCCCTTCTGACGGCAGCTGTAACCAGTCACATTAACTGTGATGGGAGGCTTGCTGCTCAGATTCTTTGGTGGGATGCTCATAGCTGAGAAAAGTGTAACAGATAATAAGCAAGGAAGACGAGAAGAGCCTGGGCTGATCTACTCTATCCACACAGGCACTAAGAGGGCCCGGGGCTCACCTGGGCTCTGGGCACGAAACCTGAGAGCTCAGTGCCACTCCTGGAAGCTGATGACGACTGTAGCTGCCTCAGCTGAGTCTTTCACCTGACAAATGGAATACGCCCCACTACGGCAGTGGGTCTCAACCTTGGCACACTGGAACTGCCTAGGGCACTATGGAAAATCCTGATGCCAGGTCCCACCCTGGAGATTTTGGGATAGTCAGTCAAGGGTGTGGCCTGGGCATCAGGATTTTTCAAAGCTCTGTAAACGATTCTTGTGCGCAAACAGGGTGGAGAACCAACTCACCACATCAGCCCCACTCTGGCTTTGGGGAAGCCAACTCATCACCTGTACTTAGGCTCAAAGAGGGCTTGCCTGGGGCTGTGGCCCCCAGATCAGCGGCATTAGGATCCTCTGGGAGAGTTGAGAATGATTTTAAGAGCTATTTAAGAAGTACAACCGTATAGATTTGGAGAAAGAGGAGTTAATGATGATTTAAAAGTTTTCTAGCTTGGCTAGTAGGTGACAATGACATCCCAACTAAGGCAGGGAGTATAAGAGGACGAGCAGGTTTGAGAGGCAAGAAGATTTATTTTGAAGATTTGGGAGTTGAAGTTTCTGAGGGACATTTGAGTGGTGACACATGAGAGTAAGCATGCTGGCTGGAGGCCCCGTGCCGTCAGCGTGAGTCACAGATGTGGGAGTCGTTATGGAGAAGAGGTCGCTAGAGTTGTGGATCTGGATGAACTCACCTGGGAGCCAAAGTACAAGCAGAATGAGAAGGAAAAAGAGGAACAAGAGGTGGGGGATGACATTTAAGGAGTGGATAGAAGACAATTCATCAAACAAGAAAGAAAAAAAGAAAATGGCCAGAGAGGTTAGAACAGAAACAGATGGCTATGTATATACAGAGGCCAAAGTTTACTGGTGGTCACCAGGGATGGGTGAGGGGGGAGAGGGAGGCACTCTCTAGATAGTGGACACTTGTTATTTTTGGTGATAGGAAAGGCAGCATCCAATGTGGGTGAAGTGCACACAGCTTGACCAATGTGAATGAAGTCACTAAGAAGTGCACAAGAGAAAAGGACTTTGTAGTAAAGGATATGACATATACAATTCTGCAGCAACAACCAAAAAATACATGGGTGGTTACACAAATATGTGTACAGGCATTTATGTGTATAGGTATGAATACGTGGGTACATATGTGTGCACAGATAGATGTATCTATAGGCATATGTACATACAGATATGTGTGTGTGCATGCATATTCATATATATAATAAGCCACATGGGGAAAAAATAAAAAGAAACATGACTATGGGAGCTCCGAGAGGGCAGGGGCCATGTCCGTTTACTCTGTATCCTCTGTTCCTAGTGCAGGGCCTAGCAAATAGTGAGCACTCAATAAAATTGTTCAGTCAGTTAGTTGATGAGGGGTTTCAAGAAGGAAATGGTGGTCCACTCTACTGAAAGCTGCAGAGCCCCAAGGTCCTGGGTGATTGCAGTGAAACCAATTTCAAACGACAATGCTGATGGAAAATAGATTCTTAATAACCTATACGTGACATTTAAAGTGTCCCACCCTGGACATGGTTGGGGTGTATGTTGCGTGTGTGTGCATGCACATGTGTGCATTTTTGAGGCACTACATGAGGGCATGTGGTATCTAAGTGGCTGCTGGGTTGTCCCTGTCTCCTGCTAACAACTGTGTCACATCTGGGTATTTTTCAAAGCTTATTCACACTCTATGCTCCACCAGCTCAATAGCTGCCATACAGGAAATGAAGCAGAAAACATGGAGCTAAGGTAAGGAGTCTTTTCATAGCTGAGGTTGGTTTTCCAAATTGAAAATGCATGCTCTTAGGGCTGCATCAGGCATGGGATAGCACAAAGGACGGTGTGAAGATTTGGTAGTGAAGGGCATGGAAAGAAAAAGCTGTTGTGACCAACAGTCCCAACAACATGCTCCAGCACATTTGTGCCTGTGCCGAGGAGGTGCAGCACATGTACGCGCCCACCCAGGCACAGCCCCTTCATCCCTCAACCCCCCTCCCTCCCTGGGTTTCCAGCATAGATGGCAGCCCCTGGACACATGACTTTACCTGATGAGGAAGAGCCTGTCCTTTTCAGATGGATGGTCATCCAGCCACTGAGAGAAGCGTGCGTGGGACCACTCTGCCCTCTGCCATATGGGAACACAATTGGAAGAGACAGAGTATATATGCATTCTTCAGTAGACGAAAGCACTCTCAAGGATTCCCAAGGTGAAATCACCCAAACACTGCCTGAGGCCAGTGTGCAGAGGTGTCACAGCCCTTGGTTCACCATGAAGGAGCCTTCTAGATTTGCAAACTGGTGATGGATCAGCAAAAGAAATGGGGCCTCCACCAAAAATGCTTTATGAACATAAATTATTTGTGCCTTTATTATTTAAAGGGATAATTCTAGATTTACTAGGTAATTTTTTACACTGATGGGAAAGTAGGTGCTGGGCCGTAGTAATTTTCCTTTCTGATCTCCATCTGCTGCCAAAAATAGAAATCCATGATGGAATCAGGCCAGAGAAGGCCAAGAACCCATTCAGGGAGTGGGGCTCAGTCTGCACAAAGTCAACAGAGAAAGACAAGAGGATGCTGGCTTCACTTTGTTACCTGGAAAGGGGATTTCAGCTCAGCTGGTGCTCTCGTGAACAAAAACTGAATAATGACGCTGAACGGAATAATGTCGCCCAATACAGGACTAGAGGCCACACATTCATTCGTCTGAAAGAGCAATGGTCTAGAAGGAGGAAAAGCAGAAGTCATTTTATGCTGTTCAATATTGAAGGAGGTTATTTGGTGGAAGAATCATTCTCCTAGAATTATGACATTTCTCCTAGACTAACTAATAAAGAACCAATCCATTTCTTCCTTCCTTCCTCCTCCCCTCCTTCCTTCATTTTTATTATGGTAATAATATATATAACAAAACATTTCCCAATTGAAAAATTTTACACATATAATTCAGTGACACTGATTACATTCATCATGTTGTGCAACCATTACCACTACTCTTTTCCAAATTATTCCACCACCATTAACTCAGTGCCCCTTAAGCAATGACTCTCCTATCCCCTCGCCCTTTAATCTCTGGTAACCATTAATAAGCTTTGGTCTCCATGTATTTGCCTATTTCATGTAAGTGGGATCACACTATATTTGTCCTTTTGTGATGGATTCATTTCACTCAACATAATGTTTTTAAGGTTTATTCATGTTGTAGCATGTATCAGGACTTCATTTCTTTTTACGGCTGAGTAATATTCCATTGTATATCACATTTTGTTTCTCCATTCATCTGTTGATGGACATTTAGGTTGTTCTCACATTTTGGCTATTGTAAAGCAACCCACTTCTTAACCCTCCCCCCCGATTCAGCTCTGAGATACACACAACATCCACACACCCACAGACATGCCACATTCTAGCAGGTTAATCTATCCTTCAGCAACTTCTTTGATCGCTAGTTCAGTGGTCTATGGGACTGACTTTACTTCAAGGTGACTCAGCAAAATCTCTAAGAGCTCATCTGATTAATAAGCTAAAATCAAATAATCCCCCCAAAAAACTGTTGCCGTCGAGTTGATTCCGACTCATAGTGACCCTATAGGACACTATAGAACTGCCTCACAGGGTTTCCAAGGAGTGGCTGGTGGATTCAAATTGCCAACCACTTGGTTAGCAGATGTAGCTCTTAACCACCGTGCCACCAGGGCTCCAAATCAAATAAAGCGTATAGTAAAACCTTTGAGTATTTACAACTAATAGCTTCTTGTCTTGGTCAACCTTTTAAAACTTCATTTTAAATAGAATCCTCTTTGCGCTATAATCTTATATGGGTAAACTCAAACATTTTGTATACAACTTTTTAGGAGGAATAATGTCCAAAAATACAGAATGATTACTTTGCTGAACATTTCTTCAAGTGTCTACACCAGCTCCCTTCTTCTTTTTTCTCTAGTTCCTTTCTTAATAAACTACCTGTCTGGGTTTTGCAGTCTAGTATTTTACAGGAGGGGCCTGCAGGCAGATTTACTCTACTGCCAATCATCTACTACCTTGTGCCAAAGGCTGGAAAGAATAATTTAAAACTGTTTGAAACTTTATTGATGTCCCTTGGCCTTGGGCTCTGATGGACAAGAGCTGATTACAGGTCAGGCTGAAGAGTCTGAATCTCACAAGTTAAGATGGCAATAACATATCTTGACAGATCAGATAACGATTCTGAACCATGTAAAACGGTGTTGCACCCTGGTCTTTCTTCACCGCATCTTAGTTCCTTGAATTACTACAAATGAAGGCCTGTACAAAACAGAGAGGCGAGCTTCTTCTTTACACTAATGATTAGGTTTTGTGTCAAGAGTCAGGAGTGCTCTTAACAGACGGTGGTTCTTGTTGGATCTGGAATACTGTTAGAAAGAATGTCCCAATATTAACTACCGGCACACCTCAGAGATACTGTGGGGTCAGTTCCAGACCACCGCAATAAAATGAACATTGCAATAAAGTGCACCACAGGAATTTTTTGCTTTCCCAGTGCATACAAAAGTTATATTTCACCATACTGTAGTCTATTAAGTGTGCAATAACATTATGTCCAAAAAAAAATGTACATACCTTACTTAAAAAATACTTTATTACTAAAAAATGCTAACCATCATCTGAGCCTTCAGGGAGTCCTATCTTTTTGCTGGTGGAGGCTCTTACCTCAGTGTTCATGGCTGCTGACTGATCAGGGTGGTGGTTGCTAAAGGTTGGGGTGGCTGTGGCAATTTCTTAAAATAAGACAACAATGAAGTTTTCTGCATCAATTGACTCTTCCTTTCACAAAAGATTTCTCTGTAGCATGTGATCCTGTTTGATAGCATTTTACCGACAATAGCACATCTTTCCAAACTGCAGTCAATCCTCTCAAACCCTACTGCTGCTTTATCAACTAAGCTTATGTAATAGTCTAAATCCTTTGCTGTCGTTTCAACAATGTTCACAGCATCTTCACCAGGAGTAGATTCCATTTCATGAAACCACTTTCTTTGCTCATCCATAAGAAGCAATTCCTCATCTGTTAACATTTTATCATGAGATTGCAGCAATTCAGTCACATCTTCAAGCTCCACTTCTAATTCTAGTTCTCTTGCTATTTCCACCACAACTGCAATTACTTCCTCACTGAAGTCTTGAACCCCTCAGTCATCCATGAGGGTTGGAATCAACTTCTTCCAAATTCCTGTTAATGTTGATATTCTGACCCCCTCCCATGAATCACTAATGTTCTTAATGGCATCTAGAATGGTGAAACCTTTCCAGAAGGTTTTCGATGTACTTTGTCCAGATCCATCAGAGTAATCACAGAGGAAGCAGCTATAGCCTTACAAAATGTATTTCTTAAATAATAAGACTTGACAGTCAAAATCACTCCTTGATCCATGGGCTGCAGAATGGATGTTGTGTGGCATGAAAACAACATTTATCTCTTGAGCACCTCCATCAGAGCTCTTGAGCAGTGATATTTTGAAAGGAGTCTTTTTTTCTGAGCAGTAGGTCTCAACAGTGGGCTTAAAATATTCAGTAAACCATGTTGTAAACAGATGTGCTGTCATCCAGGCTTTGTTGTTCCATTTATAGAGCAAAGGCAGTGTAGATTTAGTGTAATTCTTAAGGACCCTAGGATTTTGGGAATGGTAAATGAGCACTGGCTTCAACTTAAAGTCACCAGCTGCATTAGCCCCTAACCAGAGAGTCAACCTGTCCTTTGAAGCTTTGAAGCCAGGCATTGACTTCTCCTCCATAGCTATGAAAGTCCTTGATGGCATCTTCTTCCAGTATAAGGCTGTTTTGTTTACGATGAATATCTGTTGTTTAGTGTAGCCACCTTTGCCAATTATTTTAGCTAGATCTTCTGGATAACTTGCTGCAATTTCTACATCAGCACTTACTGCTTCACCTTGCACTTTTATGTTACAGCTTCTTTCTTTAAACCTCATGAGCCAATCTCTGCTAGCTTCAAACTTTTCTTCTGCAGCTTCCTCACGTCTCACAGCCTTCACAGAATAAAAGAGAGGTAGGGCCTTGCTCTGGATTAGGCTTTGGCTTAAGGGAATGTTGTGACTGGTTTGATCTTCCATCCAGACCACTAAAACTTTCTCCATATCAGCAATAACACTGTTTTGCTTTCTTATCAGTTGTGCGTTCACTGGAGAAACACTTTCAATTTCTTGTAAGAATGTTTCCTTTGTATTCACAACTACCTTTTTCGAACAAGAGGCCTAGAACACTCAGAGGCCACTGTAGGGTTATTAACTGGCCTAGTTTCAATACTGTTGTGTCTCAGGGAAGAGGGAGGTCTGAGGAGAGGGAGAGAGACGGAGGAATGGCCGGTCGGTGGAGCAGTCAGAACACACACAACATTTATCGATTAAGTTTACCGTCTTATATGGGCACGGTTCGTGGCATCCCCAAACAATTACGATGCCCAAACTCATTGCTATTGAGTCGATTCCAACTCATAACAACCCTACAGGACAGAGAAGAACTGCCCCATAGGGTTTCCAAGGAGCAGCTGGTGGATTTGAACTGCCAACCTTTAGGTTAGCAGCCAAGCTCTTAACCACTGCGCCACCAGGGCTCCACAATTACCATAGTAACATCAAAGATCACTAATCGCAGATCACCGTAACAGATAAAACAATAATGAAAAAGTTTGAAATACTGCAAGAATTATCAAAATGTGACATAGAGACATGAAGTGAGCACATGCTGTTGGAAAAATGGTGCCAATAAACTTGCTCGACACAGGGTTGCCACAAACCTTCAATTTGTAAAAAACACAGTATTTGCGAAGTGCAGTAAAATGAGGTTTGCCTGTATTCTATAACTAAAATCTATCTCTGGAAGGGATTCATATACTTTCAACTATTTTATCAAATAACTTTATTCTGTAATTTATTTTCCTTAGTTACTGGGGAAACATTTCAGTTCATTTTTGTTGTCTACTACCAGAATGCCAGAAAGCACCAAACCAGGCACTCCATGGGAGCATGAATCAGGTTTCCCTACAGCCACACGGAGAACACAGTAATACCTATCTTGAAAATTTTCAAAGCTCAAATCATCTGTGTTCCATGCTGCAGAGCTTTAGGCAATCAGTCAAGGACCTAATCAGGTATGGAAATGTTACCGAAGAAACTTCTGGTTTTGTCTGCAGGTACCCCTGTAAGTATTTCTGTGTGTGTGGATGATACTGTCTTCATCTAGGTGAAAGCCCCCAATTTTAACAACCACCACAACAAAAATAGCTAACATACTTGCAATGTGTCAGGCATACTTATAAAAGCTTTACATATGTTAACTCATATATTCATCTAAGCAACCCTATGAGGTAGGCACTATTATTATCCTCATTTTACAGGTGGGTAAACTGAGGTGCGGAGAGATTCAGTAAAAGCTGGAAGTGGCAAAGAAGAGATTCAAACCCAAGAAGTCTGGCTCCAGCGTCTGGGCTCTTAATTCCGTCATGCAGCCTTTTACCACATCAACTGTAGCAAAGGCTCATCCTGTTTTAGAACAGAAAGACATTCGCTCAGTCAGAAGCAAAGAGTATCAGCTCTGCAGTCCCCTGGGGAAAGTACAAACCCTACCTGACAAAATTAATATTTACATCACTCGAAGGCCATGCAATTACTAACTCTTAGGTACTCCAAATTCTCTCTTGGGGTGAAAGTAGACCTGCAGCCTCCTACA